AAGATTACGAAAATTGTAAAGAATTCTGACTTTTGATACGATATAAAACGATGAATTCTCCTTACATTGCAGTTGTCTGCAGCTTCTGTAGCTTCTAAAATATATATATTGATACTGTAATCAAATATGGTTTTCGACCAATCACAGCGCGCGTAGTATCCTAAATATTTTAGAAATAGTTATAAGACACAAAATCACTATTAAAAGAGATTTATTACAATGTATGAATCATTCAAAAGATACACCATTCCGTAGACCATGAGGTGTATTTATGGATTCACACATTTTGTCGTTTAAAATCAAAGTTTTTACCTAAAGACGTATTTTATATGCACTTTAGAGCGGATTTCGTATGAGTGGGACACCGTTACCGCACGGTTACCGCACAGTTACCGGACCTGGCCTGCACAATTTTTGTGAACCAGTGGGGCACTAGAATTTGGTTACAGTACGATTACGGTCACAGGACAGTACCGTCCGTTTCCCACTCATACGAAATCCGCTCTAATTTCATCATTATTGTACGGAGCAATACGTCATTAGTTATTGCTAGTAGTAGTATTAGCGGGGGAGTTGGGTCCGGATTTTTTGTGGGATTTGTGGGGAAAATCTGTGGGCCCTCATGAATATTTGTGGGCTAATATATTCAATATTTTTGTGGGCTATTACAGATTCATTTTTGTGGGCCTTTCACACTCCGAACAATAGTCCTTTTGTTCTCTATTGTTTTGCGCAAGCGGCTATTTATTGCTTCAATCTGGCCTGTTATAGTCACTCTGCGCTCTGACTGACTTGTAAGTTTCATATAACTTGTTGCTGTAATATTTTACAATGGAAGATAGAGAAATAGCAGAACGTGCTTTTCTGCTGGAACTGATATCAACGGTCTTGCAACTCTCATATACCTCGCGTTGCGATGATCAAATCGCCAAACTGGTCGATTCTTCGTGTGAAGGCTGTAAATTGAAACATCGTGGTCAAGAACATCACCAGTGTATGATGATGGAAGACAATGAAGCATATCTATTGTATTATAACGAGGCTAAACTGTTGGTGGATCCCAATCAAGTGTGGAAATTAGCCAGTGAAGTATGTGGCGAGCATTGACCCTTCATGGCGGGTATATATCTCAGACCTCTTCAAACTTCCCTGGGAAACGGTCTTCGGATTTCACCTTCAAATAAAATATGCGAATTCACGTCCTGAACAAATCCTTAATTCTTTAATGAGCCGTCCATGGAGGACATGCAGTGACATTTACCACATTGGAAAAACAATGTTGAAA